CCGACGTCGCTGCTGCAAAACTCGTCTAGCTGCTTAACGTTTATATTTTGGCGGGAACGACGTTGTTCTCTTCCCAGGCTCTTTCGGTCGCTAAAGTTGCCGTTGCCTCTAAAACGACCCGTGCTTAAGTTCCCTAATACTTCAGATCAGCAGCAAGAATATATTTTGCACTTTACACGATACTACATTAATAAAGTGCAAACTCTCTGAAGAAACCACCTGACAGTCTAAAGACTCCTGGTCGGGCGTCTAATCAGACAGAGATTCATAAAAAGTACCTAACTAGAAACTTTATATATTTACGAGTTTTGAAAATTACGCCAACAGCATTATTTTGCAATGTTTTCTTTCAAATGCCGTTGCCCGAATCATGGGCGTTTTGCCCGAAAAACAAGTTACAAAATTTCCGTAGCGGGGGGACTGCAGCCCCCCTCGCCCCCAAGCTCGTACGCCTATGCTGGCAACAGGGTAAAACCATGCTATTGCGTGACGATGTTATAGCGGAGCTCCTGCGCGCCGAAGACCCCCATTNACTCAAAATTATTTACATGAGTTATCTTTACCATGTAGTGCACCTCAGCGTGCACAGGAAACTACATACAACCAACCACGATTTCTTCAGTGCGTATATTCAACTGAATGCGTATAAAAGGCTGTGATCCCTTCCCTGAAGCAGGACCAAACATTCTCTGTCTTCAACAAGCTCAGTCACGGTATTTTGGCCACGAACAAAATAACCTTTAAATTGAAGAACACTTGAAAATAGTAGTTTACTAAGATTGAAAAACACCAAAGAGATAATAATACAACGTAAACGAACAAGGTTGCTTTGGTTACGGATTAACAAGATTCACACGCATTGCAAACGTGTAAACTAAGGCTAGACATTTCAAGACGGGCAAACCGTGACGTAGCTCCTTGAAAATTGGGAAGTATATGGCGATCTCACCTGGACGGCTAGTGTAGCAATATGTACAACACACGTGCGAATCTTTAACCTTTCAGTTCTTTTGTTTGGCGACATTTTTGCTGCTTTTGTCGCTTTCTGCAGCTCTCTAATGTACTTGCTATTAAAAATTCTACGGTTAAGGTGGCTCGATAGTCTAAAAATGGACTTTTTGGCTACATTTTTTTGAACAGTTACATTTATAGTCACATCATGTTGAATGTTCCACAAAAAAAGTAGGTCTAAGGTGTTACTTTTCTCTAAGCTGGGGTGCATGCGTCAAATTCCAGAGGAGCCACACCCTCTAAAAGTACCACACCCATTTCCGACTGCCAAATAATGACTATATTTGTGGCAAATATATCTTTGCTCTATTACTTGCTATGGAGCTAAAATTTTGCAGGCTTGTAGTACCCTTTTACAGCTGTGCAATGACCTATTTTCAGGCACATACTCCAATACAGTCATGAACTGTCCCTTTTCAAAGGAGACACAATAAAAGTGTTCAAGGTCCTTTC